TTATCAACTTATCATAGTATATGTGAACCTTGTTATCTGCATATCAGTAGTCAAAATGATAAAGTATACCTTGATGTGGCAATGAGATTCTCTGGCTGTCAACTGCTCACCAAAATAGAAAACTGGAAGTTTGTTACCTTAAATAGAAGAACTTTAGAACACAACCAAAGTTGGTTACTTTTCTGTATTTGCAATTTGCCCCTTTTTGAGGTGGCAACAAATCGGTTGACCTAAATGGTTATCTGACTAGCTATATTTCAGAGTGGAGGATATCATTTCCAAGTATCATAAAAGCAGCCTTAATGCAGAAGAGATAACCAACCAAGAAGGGGCTTCCCAAGATATGGTAAGTAATTTGTATTGTATAATTTTGTGCTCAATCTTGATGTCACTAGATAACACTAATTGTTCCATTACACAGGGAGTTAACAACACGTGCACAAGATTCCAAACATGCAATCAGCTTCTAGAGTCAGTAAGCAGGTATACATATTATGTTTGCACTATATATGTGTGTGTATTATGGAACTTAATCTGATATTTTGACAAGCTTGATGAAAAAAGGAATGTGGTCTCTGTGAGTAAGAAGTTGATATATTGAAATTGATTGGTATGAACTTAGTACTCAAGGACTGTCAAGTAGTATTTGTCATTCCAATGTTTGTGTTAATTACAATTGATTTTAACAAGAGGGTGTTTGAATTTTAAGATTCCAAGGTCATCTGGTTAAAATTAAACAATAAGTTTTTAAAATAGAGATCCTACCATTTGATTTTTCATCTCGATCACAGCCAAAACGCTTCCTCGTGAAACAGTTGTAGTTCCTTTGTATTTATGCCTGTGTTTTTCTGTTGCAAAAACAAAAATCAAAGCTCTTACCCTTTAAATTTGAATCGCTGCCTGTGTTTGTCTATTGCAAAACAGAAATCAAAGCTCTTACCCTTTAAATTTGAACCGCAAGTGTGGTTAATTTGTATGATGATGATGGTCCAGTGGTGGGATTTTCAGGTTGGTTGAATTATTGGAGGTGCGAGGCTAGGCTGGCCGGTGATGATGGTGTTGCGACACGGGACATGGAGATGAAGGACCGATTAGTGGTGTAGAGATGGAGAGAGGGTGGTGTTAAGGTGTTCAGTTAGGAGGAGACAAGTGTGGGAGGAGGAAGCTGATTCAGCGTATTCAATGTAGGTATTGAGCCGTACTTATTCAAAATGGGGCATATTTTATTTTGGTATTTTATCTTGTTTCTAATACATCTCATTATCCGTATTTGATGTTGTAATTGTGCGTATTATATTTATTTATCCCTTTATAATACGGTTTTTATTTACAATCGTATTAGATGGGGGTGTACTCTATAACCTATTTTCCAGTAGTGAAATATTTTATTCACCATAAAAAACTTACTACTAACTCTTTTCTTGACCATTAAATGCAAGAGGCATGTAAATCTAACATGTCTCTAGTAATTTTCTTGAACTTTTCAACTGATCTATCTACTACAATGTCGTAAGAAAATCCTGCAACATCATAATCATCATGAAACTTCCATTAACAAGGGATTATTTTCCTACAATATGCTTGTGCAGTTGTGCAAAAGCAACATGGAAAATCAATACTTGGTGATGATGTTTATAAGGAAAGTTCCATTTTGCTTAAAAGCTGAAACATCATATAGTCATGAAGAACGCCATGTCAGCTCCCGCAATGAGGTAAATATTTGAAATTTTGGGGTACCTCAGGAGATTCCGATTTGAAAAAATGTTTCCACATCAATTGTGTTCCATTAATTTGAGATCCCTAACAATTGCTATGAACTGCTGAAATAAATTAAAAGAAAAGATATATTCAGAGGCAAGATAACAGCCTAAACATGAAACACCTAATTCATACCTAACATATTAAACCTAAATAAACCCTAAAGTAATAACTTATGTTGTTCAAGACTTCAGGTAGTTATAGTAAGAATAAGAAGAATAACTACTAAATCAACAAATATGAGAGGTCATGGGTTCAAGTCTCGATGGAGACATAGGTGGTTATTTAGGAGTAGATTAGTTAGTTTGCCGTTTCAAAAAAAATCAACAAATATGAGAACAATCCTCATGTGAAAGCAAATAGTGTCAACAAAAAAAACATACCGCTTGCTCTAATTGGACAAAACATGAACCCAACAAGAAAAATGAGATCATCCACCTGCTTCTCAGTTATAGCGATCTGAAGATTAAGCCAGACACGATTGCAGTACATGAACTTGCCGGTTTCTGGTGAATGAGCTACCCTAGACCACTACGACGACATCAACTCTCCCGGCAGAAGAGAAACTTGTATACCTTCCTCTTTCAAACTTAACCGAAAAAAAGTTCTACAGAGGATGGGGGATCGATGCTATAAAGGTGAGCGGAATCAATCCAACTACTTATGTATTTGAAATTGTTAAAATAAACACAACCGGTCAAGCTCAATGTTTTAAAAATCGGTTTTTTAGTTGAACCAGTATGATGACCGGTTTCCGGTTCAACCGGTTTAACCGGTTCGACCGTTGAGTAAACCGTTTTCTATAATTTTCATTTTTTTTCGTATTTTCATACACATATCTACATACACAAATCAAGAATATGATCTCCATAAGTTCAAACATTAAAATACACATGAAAACAAATTGTAGATCATTCTAAAAACATTAAAATAACTCATAACCATAAGTTTTACATCAATCTACGTGCAGTAAAAAGAAAACAAAGTCCTAGATGAATATAAATACATCAAAAAACTTCATAACATCTATCGTATGCTTTTATTCATAAAATTTTAATAAATGTGAAAAAACTACTAAAGTTTATTATGCAAAAGGTTTCAATTCCATGTGTTTTTATTCAATTTAACCGGTTTAATTAAACCGGTTCAACTGGATTTTTGTAAAAACCAGCCGGTTCGATCCGGTTCAGAAATAGACATAAAACCGGTGATAGTTGAACCGCTCCCTTCCCCGATTCCTGGTCCAGCCGGTTCAAACCGGTTTTTAAAATATTGGTCAAGCTTTGTGTGGAGATTGACATAAAATCCAACAAACAAAAACAAGAAAATAAAAAAGCCTTAATCTTGTAGCTTCGATTTGAGGTCGAAACGACTCACCCAAAGCATTGTCTAGAGAGAGAAGTAGCAAAAAATTTAAGAGAAAGAGAAGTAGGAGATGAAGTCTGTATATATTGACATTGCTATCCTTAAAAACCACAACAGGAGGTGGCGACTGGAGGTATTTAATAAAGGGTGACTCGACAAGAAATTAGCGTCGGCGGAGAGGCACGTTTTACCGGCACTTCAAACCAAGCAGTAGGTGGCAAGCGGATTTGAGAAACACCACCGCCAAGAAGGAAATGTGAAGAAACCAAGGTCCTTACCATTGTATAAGTTAAAAGTCATTGTCGGCAACCTTCCTATTGGTCGATAGAAGCAGAGACATAGGCAAGCACACGGGTAGTTATGGTGCTCACTACCGTATACGTTAAAAGAGGCCGCCCAGCAGCCATCAGATTGGAGGAGGGAAGAAGTTATCGACGTGGACCAAAGTTGAAACCTTTAACATATAGGTAATGATATATATATATATATATATATATATATATATATATATATATATAATATAACTACTTATAAAGCATACATATTATGGGGCCCTTTCAAGTTTAAGACATTTATCTTAAAATCAAGGAGAAGAGTTTTGGACCATTAGATAGAAATGAATGGTTTAGATTGTGATCCATATAAATAAAAATGGACCAATCAAAAGAAATGACAGGATATAACACACAAAACAAGGGAAAATGACTTGTAAGGGTAATGATCTTTTACCCGTGTTCAAATTATACCATTCATGTTTTTTTTAACAATAAATACCATTAATATGTGTTTCGTCTACACATATTACCATTGGCAACCGGATACAATAGGTTATCCCGGTATTTTGTAATTAAAAATAAAATAACGAGTGATGTGGAAAATACGTGGCTATTACACCCACATCTCCCCTACTAAAGGATCTTAGGGCACGATTTCTTCTTCAAAACTGTTGCAGGATTTCTCCCATCCATGGCTTCCTCCTCCACGCACAACTCCAGCACCAGATCGAAGAAACCCAAGTCAAAATCGAAACTTGATTTTGCAAATCCTTGTGATTGTGGCTACCCTTCTCGTATTTGGACTTCAACGACCAAAGATAATCCTGGAAAAGATTTTAGGGTTTGCCCTAATTCAACGGTATGTGGGGTTTAATCTATATGTAGTAAGGTTTTTTTCACTAATTTTCGTATTATTTGTTTTAGGATAACCCATAAATTAAATGCAAATTCTGGGAATGGGTTAATGAAGAAGATACAGTCAAAAACAAGAAAAGACATGAAGTGGGAGCACAATCCTGTGAAGTGAGGGCACAATCCTGTGAAGTGAGGATTGCCATTATGGACCATGATTTCAATATTTACAAAAAGAAGACAGATGAAGAATTTGATAAGATGAGTAGGAAAATTAGTAGTCTCAAAAGTTATGTAATTGTGTTGTTTATGTTGTTTGTAGTATCACTTTTAAGGACATAAATGTCAAATTGTAAGTGGATGTTATGGTTGAATCTTATGTTGTTTGTTGAATTAGCATGTTTTGTTGTTGCTAAATTGACAATTTGAAAATGAGACAACTTTGCAGAATTTTACCCCTGTACAAACAACATCCCTCACTTTTTTAATGTGCAGAATGGTCAAAAATAATGTGAAGGGCATAATGGTCAAAAAGAAGGAATCCTATGTAAAATCAACATTGAACGATGTAGATTCTATTTAAAGGGTAATAACAAACAAAAGCACAGTTTTTAATGTGCAGATTCACATCAAAAGACAAAAGCATAGTGTTTACCAAAAGACAAAAGTATAGTGTTTTCTGCCCTAAACAAAAAGGCCAATAACAAACAAAAGCACAGTTTTTAATGTGCAGATTTACATCAAAGGGAATCATTCCAGAGTAACAGGTTTAGTCACACTTAAACCACTTCCATCCTTGGTGATGACAACCCTCTTCAATGCCATTTCGGTGATCCTCTCTGAGTATCTCCTTTGCCTCTTCAATGGTTGTGCTACTTGTTCAACTTCAACAAGAGGTTGTGCAACTTGTTCCTCAACATCTTCAATCACAGGTTCAACTGCAACTTGTTCCTCAACTACAACTTGTTCCTCAACATGTTCCACTTCAACAACAGGTTCAAAAACATGTTCCATTTCAGGTTCAACAACTTGTTCCTGATCAGGTTCAACAACAGGTTCCATTTCTCCTTCTTCAGCCACCTCTTCAATATCAGATTCATACTCATCTTCAAATTCAGCCATCTCTTCAATCTCAGATTCAAACTCATCTTCAACATCAGGAACATGTTTACCCTTCTTCTTTTTAGGTTTAGTACTTGGTCCTACATTTAAATTTATAATGCATTAATAGATAATACTTATATTTTTTGTAAATGAATGAAAGTTGATATGAAAACAACCTTCTTTGGACAATGGACATCTGATTTTGTTGTGACTTGGTTCTCTACAGATGCTGCATTTTGTAATAGCCCCTTTCTTGCTAATAGTATGTCGACCTTCTTTTTCTGAAGCAGCTTTCTTCCTGTTGACTTTAGGCCTACCAGGTAATCTTCTACGTTTCGGGGGCAACATTGTCTGACCAATGTTGGATGGCCACATTTCACTTCCATTTAAAGGCTTAATGGTATACTTATAGCAATTTCCAAACATTTGTGTTGTGAACCAAGTTGCCACATAGTCTTCCACATTCTCATTTAGATAACTAATAGCAGCCATGGCATGTACACATGGTATACCGCTTAGTTGCCATCCTCTACATGCACATGTTCTTTGGTTCAAGTACACAGCATAAACCTCATGTACTGACCTCACTTCAAATTGTTGCACTCCACTTGCAATTACATGCCAATACCTATAAAATAAAGGGATATAGTATAAAAGTAGTACTTGGGAATTATATGGTTGGAATACAATAAAAGTATATATACCTTAGATGTGTCCTCATGTCCACTATTTTCCTTCTAATAGATGGACATATGGCTAGATTCCATTTCTGCCCCTTCAATCTTTTACAATACATCCTATCCATCACAAACCTCCTAATTTCCTCTAACATTGTTATAATCGGCTTTTTCCTAGCATCCACAATTACAGCATTAAATGATTCACAAATACCATTCTCAATGGCATCACAACACCTGTCCAATACAAAAAAAAGCCCTAGACCAGGATTTTGGATCTCTTTCCATCAAGTGATCATATGCTTGTATATCAATCACCCTAATCTCTTTCATTATACCTTCAAACCTTTGGACAGTTGTGGCCTTTTCAGCCCTCCAAAAAAGCTTCCTATATTCAGCACCCGTAAATTTTTTCTTGAAATTAGCATAGATGTGCCTAGCACATTGCCTATGCTCAACATCTGGTACTCTTTCTTTAACAGCCTCAATAAGACCCAAAACATGCAAGATAAACAAAACATTAAGATAAATAAAACAGTAACCAATTAAAAAACAGTTAGGATAAATACCTTGTGTTGGTCAGAAAGTAAGGTTAATCCTGCTCCATTTCCCATGTCAATGTCATTAAGCAGTAAGTCTAGAAACCACTTCCAAGTTTCTTTGTTTTCAACTGCAACTACTGCCCAATCAATGGGGTAAATATGGTTGTTAGCGTCTCTTCCTACAGCTGAAAGAAGCTCACCTCTGCAAATACCTTTTAAAAAGCAACCATCTACACCTATAACCCTCCTGCATCCTTCAATCCAACCATCCTTTACACCTTTGATACAAACATACATCCTAGAAAAATAAACTGTGGAATCAGGCATTGTATCCGTCCCAATTTTCACTGTTGACCCTGGATTTGATCTCAATATCTCAGCTCCATAACTCCATAATTTTTCATAATGTGTATTCAAACTGCCTTCAATCTCATTAAGTGCAAACTTCTTTGCATTCCTGCATTTTCCAACACTAACCTTCACATTGAAATTTTCCCCAACTTCATCCCTCATTTCCCTGCAACTCATTTTGGGATTTTCTAAAATATCATTAACAAAATGTTTCCCTATCCATGAGTAAGTAACAACTGACCCAAACTTGAAGGTTCTAGCATAGTTATGCTCATTAATTAAGGAATTGATTTGGAATGATTTTTCACTGCTCATCCAAGTAGGCCATAGTCTAAAAGGACATGTTGCCTTTCCTTCACTAGTTTTACAACACCTGACTAGCAACCTAGTTTTATCATTTTTTCGTACCAAAGGTTATAACCGTTTGCTACTGTATAGTTTGATACAAGCTGTTTAAGTTCTTGAGGGTTACAAAACCTCATACCAAGGATGGGTTGCATTGTATCCCATTTGTGAGTTGTGTCATGAAAAGGATAAATTGGGGCTTGTTTGGTTCCATTATCTGAATCATCATCCTCATCAACAAAATCATCTCTTTGGACAACACTAATATGGTTAAGAAAGGGATCATCAGACTTAGTCAATGGTATTACCTCTTCATCGGGTTCATGATCAACAGATAGAGCATCAGACATGACCGAGTCCTTATCTTCATCAGAGCTTTCACTATCAACACCTTCTTCTTCCTTTTCTTCCTCTATCCATTCAAATACCGGTTCATTGTAGTGATCAACATATACATTGATCTTTCCCTCGTTACCATTTGCAGTATCAAGAAACCTCGTGTAGTCATCATCATTTGTCAGTGGTCTCAACCCATCACGCATCGACTTATGCCCAAGACAGTAGTAGACATCAGGACACTTCCCCTTTGTGACATCTTCAAGAACATAAATGAACTCCTTGAAATTTAATCCACCAAAATCGGCATCTGTAATTGAAGTATTTTGATTCATGTAGTAGATAAGAGGATTGGGGGAAAATATTCCATCGTAATGAACATCTACTTGAATGAAAGTAGATCCTTTTGCATTAGATGGACCAGCCATCATCGATCTCAAAGAAAGCTTCGAATGTATGAGAAAACCCTAGACAAAGTGTTTGGTTTGAGAGTGTTTAATTGAGAGACGGGTGATTAATGCCATATAATCATATAAGCGGGTGTAATAGCCACGTATTTTCCACATCACTCGTTATTTTATTTTTAATTACAAAATACCGGGATAACCTATTGTATCCGGTTGCCAAATGGTAATATGTGTACACGAAACACATATTAATGGTATTTTTTTTAAAAAAACATGAATGGTATAATTTGAACACGGGTAAAAGATCATTACCCTTACAAGTAATTTTCCCCACAAAACAAACACAAAATCAACTACACTTAAATTCACAAATGCACTATATAAACAAATCACACGACAGATACCCTTATTTGAAATCCTTTCCCCCCACACTCTCTCTAAAACCATTCTCTCTAAAAATCTAAAGACTAACCTCACTTCCGAACCATTGCTTCCTCCTTACAACAACTAGCTTTTTCTTCTGTTCCTCTTGTGTATGTTTGTATTCTTCCGTTGTTATGACCGCCACTAACACAACTTCCACCACCATTATCGTTCTCCCTTAAGGTATCCAAAATCCGCCAACAACTACCAAACCATCAACCGATGCTCTTGAAAACCATTCAGAACTGCCTTAAACCACCTTCTGCTGCTCTTAAAAAGATTAGATCTGAAAACCATAAGATCTATAACTGCCGGTGCAACATTGCCTTCCAGCGACAACCGATGCTCTTTCTCCAGAACCTTCCGAAATGTTGTAGATCTGTTTCGTCCAATTACCCTAGATCCTTGTTTATTTCCTTATTTCGCTTGTATTTGTATGTTTAATTGTACGGGTGATTGTCTAATAACTGTTTCATGATATTTTAAATCCAGTTTTATAGAATTCAGTTTGTATTTTCTTTTATACGCTTTGGTTGTTGTATATGTATATTTCGTTGTTGTATCTGTATATTTAGTGAGAAGAAAGGTTAAGATTCATCGTCTGTGATTGTATATGTTTGAGTATAAGGGCATTCGATTTTTTATTTGTAAACATTTTTAATGGTAGGGTTCTGATTCATTTTTTTAGTTATTTATTAAAAGAACTTTTGGTTTGCTACATTTGACTTCTATTTTATCATGAACTTACCAAGAACCTCTTTTCACATACACCAAATTATTTATTTACTATATTTATATATATTATTGTATTATTAATACTATCTATTAAATAATATATTAATCAAAATGTACATTATATATCAAATAAAGATTTTTTATATGTATTGGTAAAAAGAAAAACGTGATAACAAATTGAAAACAAATTAATTAAAATATATCATAATATATAGAAACAAAAGGTTTAAATATAGAGATTTGGACCGCTGACAATGGTCGGTTGTAGGTTATCCAAAGCAAAAAAGTTGTTCAAATAGGCTTTAGGCTTTGTAGTTTGGTGAATAATTGAAGTTTTTAATTTTGATTCTATAATTATTTATTCTAACTTTTATTATGGCATTTCTTAAGGTGTAGAATAACCTTTTTTACATATCCAAACATACTTGTATGAATTTATCTAACTTTTATTACGGCATTTCTTAGTTTTGGAACAATATATTTGTATGAATTGTAACTTCTTATATACACTATTTGCATGATACGTTATATTGTCATTATATATTATTTTTACTTTTAGAGTTAATACTATTGAAAATAATAAATATTTCGTTTTTCCTTAATTGGTTTAGCTATGTTGAAAATAAAAATGATCAATATATATCGCACGGGGTCTCTAAAATCTCGGGGCCGGCCCTGATATATATATATATATATATATATATATATATATATATATATAATATATATATATATATATATATATATATATATATATATATATATCAGGGCCGGCCCCGAGATTTTAGAGACCCCGTGCGATTTAATGAAAAGTAGACCCTAAAATCTGAAAGCTTTCAAAATTTAAGCAAAAAAATTATAAATTTAAACATAAACACACAGGTACCTCTGTATGTTCTTCAAAGGAATGAACTTTTACACATGTGAACTCTTTGATCCTATATAGATGTGTTCCATCGTAAAGTTCACATTTTATTTACTTCACAATTGAATAAAGTATCCAAAAAATCCTAATCAACATGGATTCCATTTACAATTCTTTTTCGGCCAATTAATAACTTAGTTTATAAATAGTCATCTAATATCTACAAGCTGGTAGTTGTCGGCATTCTTGTGGTAGTGAGCAGAATTCTCAAAACTCCATGTCATCATTGAAAAAAATTGATAAAGCTTGCTACCTCAAGAGTATTCCGATCCAAATAAATAAAAATTCAATTGAACACCAATGAGAACATGTGTCTGGTATTCTGAAATCAGAAACGAAATCACAAATCTGAAATGAGAAACGTAATCAGAATTTATTTCTTACAAATCATATAAATTTATCAAAAACAAAGAAAATGAAACAGCAGAAATTTATTTGTTTGTACCTTCAAACTTCAGAAATTGATTTCCACAATTCCTTGTTCCTTTCTGATTTACCAAACTGATATCCTTGTTCTTAGGATTTACTAATTACTGATTTGGAAGAAGAAGAAGAAGAAGAAGAAGAAGAAAAACTTATCAAAAATTAGAAATAAGAAAACTAAGCATTTATCAGTAATACTTAACAAACCCATGAAAAAAAATAAGAAATACTTTAATGTTACCTTCTGATTTCGGAACCTCAAGCAGATAACATATTTTAAGCTTCTAAAAAACAGAAATACACTTCCCACCTACTGATATTGCTGATGAGTGATTGACTCTGAATCTCTGATTGTAAAGTCAAATCATTGTTTGAAGCCTTCCTTCATAGTTTTGAGAAGAAAGAAAAAGAAGTTATGATTGTAGTCTTTTGATTGCATCTATCATATATAGTGATAGTGGATAACTGGAATTGGAATGGACTAATGAATAATACAGTTGTTGTAAAAATTTCTACTGTCAACGATTGCCATTAGAGAATGTCCCATGTGTGCGTGCGTTATAAGTAAAGAAGAAACTCAAACGTTTTTTTTTTCTCTTTTCTTGAAATTTCCTTTCTTGCGTGCAACGTCGGCTGATAGAGAAAGAGTAACCTAATTTTTCTTTTGGGCCAAAGAGTAACATAGGCTACGATAAATGAAAAAAAAATGGGCCTTATGATTTTTTAGGCCCTGTTCATTGGCACTTGGAGAACCTGCGGCTTGATATATATATATATATATATATATATATATATATAAAAAGTTCAATAGAGAACCATAATTATTGGTTCTTCAAGGAACCAAATCTTTTTTTCAATTTCTAGAGCTTATTCTTTATCGAAAAAAAAATCTAAAAATATCTAAATTCATATATTAACATTGTGAATGTGAAAAAAAAAATTCGGATTCACCGTGTGAATCCGGATTCACATTGTGAATTTTCAAAGATTCACATTGTGAATTTGACGTAAAAAAAATCGAATTTGATATCATTGGAAAAATGATAAAAAGTTATGAATTTCTGTATTTTTAGTTTTTTTTAATAAAAAATAAGTTCTAAAAGTTGAAAAAAAGATTGGTTCATTGGTTAATTATGGTTCTCTATTGAACCTCACCTTTTTATATATATATATATATATATATATTATATATATATATATATATATATATATATATATATATATTACTACTTTTTAAGTTTATATATCTTTTGGTTACGATTATATTTCACATTGGTTATGTATTCTTGATTTTGAATTGTTTTGAAGATTTTATTTTTTGAATTTAACCTGGTATATCTTATTATTGAAGTTTCCTTGTTTTCTATATACAAAATAGTTATATGATAATCTATAGATGGACTATTATATTCTTAGTTATTTATAATAATATATAGTTAGTGGTTCGATGTAAAAGGAAATAGTTTGCCTTTCAATATTTGATTAAATTAGTTTACCTTTCAATTTTTGATTAAATTTAATTAATTTTATTGCTGGGATACGTGATAGCTATGTTATCATGCATTATACTTGACATAGGGAAAAGATGATAGCTATGTTATCATCATAACTTTTTATTGGTAATATAAAAAGTATATTTGTTTTCTTTTTAATCAATATGTACATGTATTTAACTTATTTTTAATTTATATATTTAAATTTCAATAATTTAAAAAATTGATGTTTTCATTAACTTATAACTAAATAGTTAGCAATGAGATATGATAGTTATATAAACATAAACTAATTTGAATTGTCAATTTTACAAAATATAATATTTATTATTTTTGAAAATTGTATTACGCCAATGTATGAAATAGTTTGGAGATAATCATATTTTCATTAAATTGTTTAAATACAACGTTTTTTCATAGAAAAATCAAGTAGACCAGAATCAAAACTCAAATTAGAAATGATATGTCAACTCCGATTTAGTTTTATTATAATTTAGGTTGTTGATTTTGTTTGTACTCAAAATTTAGTTTTTAATAATTTAGGTTTTTTATTTAATTTGATTTTTTTTACACTTATTAATTCTCATATACAAATGTACTAATAAAAATATATGTTCATATTTTAATGGACAATAAACATAATTTACACAAATAAATATTTTTTTATAAATACTTTCCTACAATATTTCAAATACATTTTGAAAACTGTATACAAAACTTAAAACTTGAAGGAGAACTCGACGAGTCCAAGGAAGGACTCGACGAGTTCAAACGGAAAGTCCCGATTCTGTCATAAGGAGAAAATCAGCGAGTTAGAGGGTAACTCGACGAGTTAGATCGCGAGTTCGAGATTCTCTGAATCATGGGACTCGACTAGTTGACGGACCAACTCGGCGAGTTGAGTCAACCAGAATGTTGACTTGGACCAGAAGGTTGACTTTGACCAGAAGTGTTGACCTTTGACTTGACCATTGACCAGAGTTGGCCCTTAAAGGGGTTATGAGTATGAACGAGTAATTAAAAGA